TTTGTTTGTTTGTTTTAAGCTGGGTGTATTAGTGGGCTCTTGTTGCTCTGCTTGTGGCTAAATAAGTTCCTTTTTGTATCCAGATGGTCAATGCATAATCAGATTTCTCTGTGTGTGCTTGTCTGTTAGTGGCTCCAGAATTGATAGATCAGGGAGTAAACATGTGGCACCCAACACCAAGGAAATCATCTTGCTCTTCCTGCTCACGGAGTAGTTTCTCTGATGGAGCACCGCCCAATGGATGCAACCATGAACGGTACGATGACAAAATGTAATATTGTATAATCCAGAAGTTATAGAAGTCATTTTGATGGATTTAATTAGAATTGAAAAGAAACCTGCAAATAAACAAGAACAATGGTCTGAGGTACTCACATACTCACAAGAATTTAAATTTAATTATTATTATTTATGTTTATTTTTTTATATTTAAATTCACTCAGAAATCACAGTTAGGGATTACTTTATACCCAAGTAACACCTGGTTTATATGTAAAAACTATAAATGTCAATTAAATAACTGTTACATTTATATTTAAGGAAAAACATTATCTCATCTGCAGGGCCCCTCTGAAGTTGCTGTGTGACAATATGAAGAACCAGATCATCTCTCGAGCTTTTTATGGATGTTTGTATTCATTACTCATACATTTATAGTCTCACAACACCATCTTTTTCCATCAAAGGTGACCTTCACATTCTTGAGTGTCTCCCTTATTCAATCAATCACATATATTTTGCCCTCTCAGGGCTGGCATACTGCCGTCACCTGTCCACGGTACGCACTCACCTGTCTGGCCTTGTCAATCACACTATTGTGGAACCAGATGTGCCCACTGACACCTATGGTGGCCTCACAACAGAAGTGTGGCAGAAGTTTCTTCAAGACTGCAGTGTACGTGCACACACACACACACACACACACACACACATATACATGAACCTGCCTGGAGTCCAAAGCAGACACGTTCAAATGAGTCTTCACCAGATACTCATTAATATTTATTTGTCCCTAATCACAGTTCTCTCATTCTCATCACATAAACAGTATGTTTGGATGACTAATATTGAGAGCCTGAGTGCCAGAGTGGTGGCACTAAATAATGACAGACTAATTTATACTCTAAACACCCAAACCAATATGTACATATATATATATATACAGTGTATATATATATATATATATAATTAGTTTTATTTTTTATGATTTGACTGATTAGCATAGTAAAGTGGTGGGAAAATGTAAATGTAAATAAATTCAAGTACCATTTGTACCATTTTGTGCTTGGAAGTCAGTGTATACTTGCTCTTTTGCAGACCTATGAGGAGAAGGAGTTACTAAGGCTAGTTTATTTCGGTGGAGTTGAGCCTTCTTTACGAAAGGAAGTCTGGCCTTTCCTGCTGGGTCATTACCAATTTGGGATGTCTGAGGCTGAGAGAAAAGAAGTTAGTGCATTTTTTTTGGGTTAAAATTGTCCTCCCAAACAGTTTTAAGGTGCAGTCACATTTACATTGCTAAGTTAAATGTTGCATGGGAAATCCCTATGGAGGTTTTTTTTGCCAGTTTTTGCCAGCAAAATTAATGTGAACATGACTTTAGTCTTTATTCTCTTTAAGATGTCCAGTGATTGCCCTGGAATTTGGCGTTTAATTATTTTTAGTCTCCTTCTTTCTATTGCAAGATTAATAAAATTTCAGATGGTTTGTGAATCAAAGCACTTGTTCCATTGCCATCAAGTAGCTTTCATTGTAAGATAATCTCCTCTTTACGTGTTGCCATTTCTGAAACTCTGAACTCTGCAGGTGGATGAGCAGATGCGAGCGTGCTATGAGCAGACGATGAGTGAATGGCTGGGGTGTGAGGCCATTGTTAGGCAGAGAGAAAAAGAACAGCACGCTGTGGCGTTAGCCAAGTGTTCTTCTGGGGCGAGTATAGACAGCACCACACAAAGAATAATGCACCGTGACTCCACCATCAGTAATGAGGTGAGCGCAAAAGACCAAAGACCAAAATATATTGTTTGCAGGCATTGAAGACTTTCAGTCCAGACTGAAATGTTTGCTTTTGATTTTATGCAATATTTACTTCAGGATGTGTTGTATTTGTCATTCAGTCCTCGCAGAGCTGTAGTTCAGGCAGGCAAAGAGATTCCAGGCTGCAGAGCGACTCCAGCAGTGGTACTCAAGTAAGCCTCACACTGATGTTGTGGCCAATACATGAATATTTGTTGTAATAGTTGCCATTGTTTTTAAAACTTAACTGGTTTTATTTTGATTGATGTTCCTCACCCTCACACTCTTTCCTGGTAGTTCTTCACTTCTCAAAACCCCTTCCCCTGGAGTAGCTTGCTTCCCTTTGGTTTGTTTTTCCAGGTGTTTGAGTCTGTTGAAGAGGTCGACCAGATTGAGTCTGAGCCCAAGAGTGAAGACATCAAACATGTTTCCAAAATATCAAATGGAACACCCCAAAATGGTACCAGTTCTCCAGACTCTGGTCACCCCTCTTCCAGAAACTTCTCCGTTACTTCTGGTCAGTCGGACTCCTTGAGCACAGAGGACAGTGGGATACATGACCCAAGCCTTAAAGCCCAACTACAGCTAGCAGTATCAAAGGAAAGGTTTGCAAGTTCATCTGGAGAGGAAGGAAAGGTGACTGAGGAAGGTGAGACCAAATCAGTTGAGAAACTAGGTGTGAGAGAATATAGTAAAATTGAGGTTAACAAAGTGTTGTCTTTGGATGCAGTTGTGACAAAATCAGAGAGAAGCAAGAAGGCCACAGAGAGCTCAGAGAAAAGGGCAGAGGTCGAGACAGGGGGGTTGAAAACAGCTCGAGATGCTTTTGAGGCTCCTGCAGTAGCTCGCAGCCACATGACCAAAATGGAAGTGGGCGAATCTACAGAGAGAACTTTGACATCAAAAAATGAAGCACTGGCACAGCAAACTGAGTCAGATATTCCCAAAGCAACAGAGGTCGTGGAATTGACTCCTCCAGAGCCGAAGATGAATGAGAATCGGGTAAATGTGGACATTGAAAGGTCCCAAATGGGAATTAAAGATATTAGAGCAATCCAAGAGAAACCTTTGGTAACAAAAGATCATAAATTATCAGATGCACTTGAGCAGAAGGTTGTAGCTGACACACTGGTGTCTGTTTCAAAGGACGATGATACAGAGAATGAAATGGCGAAAACCAATGAATTAAGCCAAGTTAAATACTCCAAGACATACATGGATGATGCCAACAATATTAGTGGCTCACAAATAGCTTTAAGACCAGGTGATGAGAAAGAGAAGAAGACTATGAAGACCAGTAATTTACCCAATGAAGCTGGAACAGCAGTAAAGAGGAAAGCAGCATCAGTTCTCTCAAAAACCACTGGTACAGAGCAAAGAGAAGAGAAGGTTGTTACAATGAGGACCACACACAAAGAAATGCAGAGGAACGCTCCAGTAGTTGAGGAGATGGTGGTTCCTTTGGTGCATGAAGCTTTTAGCACAAGAGAGATGGGTGAAGCCCAAGATGCAACTGAGTCTGACGAGTCTCCCTCTGCCATTGAAATGGAAGAGATTCCTACAGCTAAAGTGTCCATGGCCTGGGAAAGGAAGAGTTCACCCAGAAGCAAGGGTAATGAGCAGGCAACTGTACCTGTATTGGAACTCAGGCTGGAGGAAGCTCATGGAAAGCCTAGCTCTGACGGAATGAATTTTGAGGAGCCAGAGATGGAGAGTCTTTGCCCACAGCTTGATTCACTGGCTGTGAACACTACGAATGAAGCTACCTCTCCAGTTTCCTCTATAGGCACCACTTATTCTGTAAACACGCGTTTCAGAGAGGTATTTTTATATTAATATAGTTAACTATATCTATTATCTATATAAATCTGTTCACCTTTGTAATTGCAGCAAGAACTTTTGGACATGTACAGTCTAAATCTGCACCGCATTGATAAAGACGTTCAGCGCTGTGACCGAAATTACTGGTACTTCACACCTGCTAACTTGGAGAAACTACGCAATATCATGTGCAGGTAATAAAATTATTCCTTTATTGGCCTGTTTGTGCTTTGCTTTCAGTTGTTTTGTTTTTGATAAAAATACTGTAAAAACAGTAATATTGTGAAATATGATTACAATTAAATTTTTTCAGGATTATTTGGTTAATAAAAATCTCAAAAGAGTAGAAATATAATTATTTTAAATAGAAGTCTTTTGTACTATTATAAGTCTTTAGTACTGTCGCTTTTGATTAATTTAATGCATTCTTGCTGAATAAAATGTATAATTTTTTTTGTTTTTGTTTTAAAAAAAAAATCTTACTGACTTTTCAATGGTTCAACTTTAAGTAAAAATTTACTAGCAATAATAATTTAATGAATAATCAAATGTAATATTTAGCAAATATCAACATTAATATCCAGTTTTGCACTGTATATTTTAATGTTGTCATACCTAAAAAAAAACATTGAAAAAACATTAACTTTTAACATTAATTTTAGTTTTTAGTGTTTTATTTTTAATAAATAGGATAGAATTTTAACACTGGCTATTTAAGAAAATAATATAAGTTTTAATATCAGTGCATCCCTATTTCTAAGTAATCAGACTTATGAATTATTTTCAGCTGGCAGATGTAAAACATGCACACACAAAAAATCCCACAGACCTACATTAAGTCATATCTAGGGGCCAGACTATTATAGAAACTTGGAGGTGAGCTCTTTGACTGCAACTGCATGCTAAAGCACATTAGAACACTCAGAACTCCTGGTGTTGTGATGTAGCTCAAATATCCCTGACCAACACATATAATGACTTGTCTGGTTCTGCAGTTATATCTGGCAGCACCTGGAAATTGGATATGTCCAGGGCATGTGTGACCTGCTCGCTCCCTTGTTAGTTATTCTAGATGATGGTGAGTCTGTCTTTGTAAATCCTGCTCTTCTTCATCTGTGTATTTAAGTCAGTGCCACTGTGCCACGATAAGTATGTTTAGCTTTTCTCATCTGTTTTCTTGGAATCTTTTAGAGGCCATGGCTTTCAGTTGTTTCACTGAACTAATGACGAGGATGAATCAAAATTTTCCTCATGGAGGTGCGATGGACACCCACTTTGCCAACATGAGATCTCTGATCCAGGTCAAACGTCTGCTGCAGACATTTTTCTCTAATGTTTGTTTAAAAACATGCCTTAAAATGTAAAACGTGGATGTGACTGATCTTTTCACTTTGTGTGTAATTAGATTCTAGATGCAGAGCTGTTTGAGCTAATGCATCAGAATGGGGACTACACCCACTTCTACTTCTGCTATCGCTGGTTTCTTCTTGACTTTAAAAGAGGTAATAATATCTTTTAAATAGTATAATGAGAAAAAAGATATAGTTTTTAAACTGCCTTTGAAAACTAGCGTGCAATGAATATAAAAGTGACATTTGAGAAGAAATGTCTTCTATTAGTTCTCATCTGCAATGAAATGAAGCCATATTTTGCTTAATGAATGTTCAGTCCCCTAATTAGCAATTGCAACGCCCTCTTGTTGATTGTGACTTAGTAATTTACAACTTATAATAATATGAGGCTAAGCACTAAGCTTTACTCACATTAATGGTCATGTGCTTTATATGAGAAATATTTAATTTTATTAAAGGGATACTTCACCCAAAAATTAAAATTAGCCCATGATTTACTCACCCTCAAACCATCCTAGGTGTATATGACTTTCTTCTTTTAGACAAATCCAGTCGGAGTTATATTAGAAATTGTCTTTGATCTTCCAAGCTGTTTAATGGCAGTCAGCGGGTGTTGCAGTTCATCAGTCCAAAAGAAGTGAAATAAAGCACATCCATCCATAATAAAAAGTGCCTCACAATTTTCATTTTTGGGTGAACTAACCCTTTAAAGCCCTGTTATATTAAAAACTAAAATAGGAGAACCTGTTTATGGTTAAGTTATACAATACTGTAAATACTGAAACATGATTTTCTCCAGTGATGCTTTGAGCCTCTTATTTATTTAAATTTGAACTATAGGCCTGACAAAAAAGGTACTATCACCTTCTTTGCCTAACATACATATTTCAATTCCTCAGAGCTGGTGTATGATGATGTGTTTGCTGTTTGGGAGGTCATCTGGGCTGCTAAGTGTGTCTCCTCCAGTCATTTTGTGCTCTTCATTGCTCTTGCATTGGTGGAAATATACAGAGACATCATTCTAGAAAACAATATGGACTTCACAGACATCATCAAGTTTTTCAATGGTAAATATATATTCATTATACACCCTGGCATGGTAACATGAATCTCAATGTCATGAACCTCTATTAAAAAAGGTAATATAAAGACATCAGCAACAAGCATATAAGACGGCTATATAACCTAACCTTCACGGGCATTTCAAATCTAAAGAAAAGAGGATTGCGTAACCAAAATTCACCTCCATAGATAATATTAACGGCAGAGTACAAACACCATTCAATTTCACAACCCGTTATGAACACCTGTTGCTTCCATTCTAGAAAACAATATGGACTTCACAGACATCATCAAGTTTTTCAATGGTAAATATATATTCATTATACACCCTGGCATGGTAACATTAATCTCAATGTCATGAACCTCTATTAAAAAAGGTAATATAAAGACATCAGCAACAAGCATATAAGACAGCTATATAACCTAACCTTCACGGGCATTTCAAATCTAAAGAAAAGAGGATTGCGTAACCAAAATTCACCTCCATAGATAATATTAACGGCAGAGTACAAACACCATTCAATTTCACAACCCGTTATGAACACCTGTTGCTTCAGAACACCTACAGATATACTAAGATGGCGCCGCAGACGGCAGCCGCAGTGTTTGGCTGAAGGAATCATTTGTCATTTCATTAAAAATGACTTTTTTACATTTTCAAACTGACAAACAAATACACATTAAATAATTTTAAATGATTCATGTTCAATTGTAGTTAAATGCAACAGTGAATAATTTTCACAGATTTAAAAAAAAATTTAAATAAAAATTATTTTTTCTTTTTTTAGCTACTCTTGGATGTACTCACAATTACACTAATTGCTTTCTCATATCCCTGCTTATGTCATCTTTTGTTTTTTCAGAAATGGCTGAGCATCACAATATCAAGCAAATTCTGACTCTGGCTCGAGACCTGGTGTGCAAAGTGCAGACACTTATAGAGAACAAGTAACTCTGAAGCCTCTCACCTCTGTTGTTTATCGTGTTCACAATGTAACCCATCAGCCCTTGCTACAAAACAACAGGGAACATTTGGCCAAAGCTTAATGAGCTTCAAATATATGGTAACATTTCCAATGCCAAATATCTTGATCTACCTGGAATCAGTCAGTGCACAATTTTTAACAGAGTCATCTGGCTCTTTAATCAGGTTTTACTGAACATCGTAGTACATAAAATTTTATAAGCAGATGCTGCTAATGAGTGGTCATTCACTGTTAGACATGGATTTTTATCCTGTGTCTAAAATGCAGTCAGGATTACCAGTCACTAGTGACTCATAGGCTCTATTCCAAAACCTAGTGAACTGTCTGCTGCCTACTGCCTACATAAACTGAAATTTCTAATTTCATTCCAGTAGAATTTGGTGTTCGTTTGTTGCTAAGCCAACAACATGATATTCATACAGTACATAGCACACACACACACATACTGGGTAGAATAGTCAGTTTAAATCAGATTTAAACGTTTATTGATATTTTTCGGTGAAAACAAGTATTTATAAACATTTTATTCATGTGATGCTGCCTTAAAATTTGACCAAAAGAACATATCTTAAAAAAACAGCATAATGTTGCAGAAGTGTGCCTATGATGCCTTAAAATGCTGCCTATGTAAGCAGCTCACTAGGTTTTGAAACAGAACAATAAAAGTTCAGGGGTTCAGGTCAAGTGCATTTTACTGCTAAGAGACGGTCACACTAGATTTCATGCTCCATTCACTTTCACATATATGGAGTGCACATATATACACTACTGTTCAAAAGTTTGGGGTCAGTCTGATTTTTTAAAATGTTTTTCATTTAAATTTTCAGCAGCCATTACTCCTGACTTCACTGTCACATGATCTTTCATAAATCAAGAGACATTTCTTTATTATTAATAATGTTGAAAAGAGTTGTGCTGTTTAATATTTTGTGGAAAATATTATTTGATGAACAGAACATCATTTATTTGAAATATAAATATTTTGTAACATTCTAAATGTTTTTACTGTCAAATTTGATACATTTAATTCTTCCTTTGTTAAAGTATTAATTTTCCTTTAAAAAAACATAGAATTTCATCTGGCACTGCATACAAACTTAAATTAAAAAGATGTTTGATTTGTAATGCCATTGGAAACTGTAGTAGATTTATAGAGTAGATAGATGTAAACATTTCCTTTTATTTATCATTTATTGAAAACAGAAGCCTGAGAGCATGATATATGTTGTTACAGATATTTGTTGTTACATCTAAAATAACTAGGGATCATTTTACATGCTTAAAATCTAGTATGACCGCCCTCTTAAGGCTATGGTATGACCTGCACACTTTGTTAATATTCTGATGTGCCACTTTTAATATTATGTAGATTTTCCTGTGTACAACTGTAGCAGTAGAGGGCGCTGTGCTTTCAGTCGACTGACCTTTTGCATGTGTTTTTGTACCCTGCATAATTCCATGTCAGTGTCTTTACTGTGAGTTGTTTCACTAAATCAGATCAGGCTATTGTATCACACAGTATATTATTGGACAATACCAAGGAATACCGCTTGGTATTAGATTTAGAACAGAGAAAAAACATCCGTAAATTGTGTATTTATTTTCTTTGTGTTACAGAACTAAATAATGAATTGGGTTTTCCATCGGTTTATGTAATGTTTGAGTCAGTGCTGTGTTTCAGTGCATTGGTGTCATGTTTGCAGTCACCTTATGAATATCTGGCATTATAGGATTTATTTTTCAAATTTGATGCGTCTGTGTGTGTGTGTGTGTGAGAGAGAGAGAGAGAGAGAGAGAGAGTGAGAGTGTGTGTGTGTAGACCAGGACAACTCACAATCACTACTGCAAGGCCTTGTCTGCTTGATGTATTCTTGCTGTTTGTGGACTGTACAGAAAAACACATGCTATATTTATTATATAGAGAGAATCTATATTATTAACTTTGGTGTCGTTGCCTACATGGTTCTCAGAATGCACACTAATATTGACACAAAGAAATGAAAATCATCAGTGCTCTTATTTATTTTTCGTTATGAAATTGTTGTATAAAATGTACATTGTATTTCTTCATCCTCTAACCACTCTCCTCTGCTATAGCTCTTATATTATAATACCTTATAACATGTTGTAATCACAATGAAGTATTGATCCTATGATCAAACCAATACAGCTACGAGTCAGAAACCTTTGGTTGATCAGATGTATCCACAATGAGGTGCAATCACTAAAAGTGTATCGAATCCCAAGGATCATTCTTTATGTATCTGATCTGTAACAAGGCTAAAAATGACCATTTAGGCAAGAATAGTAAAGCAAATCAAAGCGTATTCCAGACTCCTGTGAACACATTTATGTGATTTGATATGAGCAGATAAGAATCATTCTCCTGCATTGAATCTTGTTGATTTCTTCTTGTGCAAAATCGATTCTAAAAGGAGAAAAAAAAATAATAATTTGTGTTGTTTCGCATTTAAAACTGAATGTACGCATTGTCTTTTTGTGAATATTGTTACTGCACTGTGGTCAATTACTACAAAGTGTTACATTCTAAATATATACTAAATGGTAAATGTACTTATTTAAAAAAAACTAAATAAAATGGAATTGTTCTTATTTTTCCAACAAATATAATCATATTCCTGCTTCTGAAGGCAATTAAATATGCGTGTGCATATGTGTGTGGGCGTGTGTGATTAATTTCTCTTTTGTTTTATTTTCATGTTATTACAATTAGGATATTGTCACGGTATGTGGTTGTAGTGAGCGCACGGAGAAGGAGTAGTAGTAAAGGAGTCTTTAATTAGAACTTAAAACACAAAGAACTGAATAGCATCAACACATCTTCCATATCCGTAGATTAAACCGAGACAAAGAAACTCAGGAGAACACAGGGCTTAAATACGGAACCAAACGAGGGACTAATGAGTAAATTAACAAAGAACAGGTGACTGACTAATAACAAGAACAGGGTCTGAGCCAAATTAGGGCAGACAGGAACTAAACAGAAACAAACACGTGACAGGTATCGCCCCCCCCCCTCCCGGAAGGCGCGTCCCACGCCGTAACATTAACATCGGGGAGGGGGGGCAGGCGCCCTGGAGGCTGGTGCAGGACAGGAACAGGGCGGAGACAAGGAGAGTTGCCGTGGCGGAGCAGGCAGTTCAGGTTGCCGTGGCGGAGCAGGCAGTTCAGGTTGCCGTGGCGGATCCTCTGTGGCCTTAGCCGGCTTGGCCACGGGCCTATGGCCCCCCCAAAAATTTTCTTGGGGAGAACTAGGAATCCTAGGGGGTGCTCTGGAGGGGATTCAGGGACTGGAGCCCTCCCTGGGCTCAACTGGGGGATCTGGAGCCCTCCCCTCCCTGGGCTCAACTGGGGGATCTGGAGCCCTCCCCTCCCTGGGCTCAACTGGGGGATCTGGAGCCCTCCCTGGGCTCAACTGGGGGATCTGGAGCCCTCCCCTCCCTGGGCTCAACTGGGGGATCTGGAGCCCTCCCTGGGCTCAACTGGGGGATCTGGAGCCCTCCCTGGGCTGGATTCAGTGACTGGAAAGCGCTTACGAGGAGCCAACCATGGAGCGAGCTCTGGGGCTGGAGCCGACCACCTTCTCCGATTTCTCTTCTGGTTCGGGGTGAAAGGCGTGGTCGGCGGGCTTGACTCGGGAACGGCCGGCGGGCTTGACTCGGGAACGGCCGGCGGTCCTGGGCTGAGGATAAGGGAGGAACTTCGGAGGACTTGGGTGGGGGTGAGAGCGGGAGGAAAGGAGGGAGCGTGCTCATTGGAGCAGTATGTGGAGGGAGCGAGCTCATTGGAGCAGTATGTGGAGGGAGCTGGCTTGTGGTTAGCTGGAGCGCCCACATGCTTCCGGATGGGAGGAGGATGAGGATCCTCCACATCTACAAGGAACCATTTATCTTTAAAACAATTTAGAAAGTCCGCTACGGGTCTGCGGCAATCGTCAGGAGTCAAGAAACTAAACAAATTGTCATCTTTTAGTCCCATCCGGAAGCACGCATTAAGCATGGAGTCGCTCCAACTCACCAGATGTATTGGGCTCAGAAACTCCTCCACATACTGCTCCAAAGGCCTTCCCTCCTGCTGGAAATCCAAGAGAAAATCCTCAGCCCAGTTCATCTTCCTCTGTTATTGGTCTCGGTTTGTGTCAAGGTATGTGGTTGTAGTGAGCGCACGGAGAAGGAGTAGAAGTAAAGGAGTCTTTAATTGTAACTTAAAACACAAAAAACAGGAGCACTGAATAGCATCAACACACATCTTCCATTTCTGAAAATGAAACCGAGACACAGAAACTCAGGAGAACACAGGGCTTAAATACTGAACCAAACGAGGGACTAATGAGTAAACTAACAAGGAACAGGTGACTGACTAATAACGAGAACAGGACCTGAACCAAATTAGGGCAGACAGGAACTAAACGGAAACAAACACATGACAGATATTTTATTAGAATTTAATTTATAATAAAATGAGTGAAATGATCAAATTATAAATGTGATGAAATTATGAGTGTTATTATATATAAATTGTGTTTTTATTATTTTATGTTATTTGAATCTATAGGGTTTTATTTAAAAATATGTCATTTTAATATAAAAATAATTGTATTATCATATAAATGTATAATTAGATTGATTGCTATTCTTAACAGCTTGTGTGCAAATATAAATACAGAATAGTCACATACATAGTCAGACAGTAGATTCTTGCATTACCTGTGGCTACTTGCCTTTCAAAAAGGTAGATTTAAAAACGTATCGCCCGAACAGGGACTTGAACCCTGGACCCTCAGATTAAAAGTCTGATGCTCTACCGACTGAGCTATCCGGGCTCTCGCTGACACTATCCACAGTCCCTTCTCAGAAGATACGACAGGAACTCTATAAAAACTCAACTTCCGGAAAAACAGGCTTTTTTTGGTAGGAGGTCTCTGATTAGGTGTCCTTCGCAATACAGACATTCTTATAATCGCGTTTTAATTCTGTTCATTCGACTCTGCGCGCGCAGTAACGTGACATACGTAGGAACATCATTTTAACATGTTCTGTAAATGTGCAGCGCGAGCTTCAAGGGCGCTGCGGCCTACGCATCCTCGGTGTGGAGTATTGACGCTGCCCGCTCTAAGCGACACTGTGTCGGCCAGCGGAACGTCCTGGTCACATTGGACATATAAACGGGAATCAAGTAACTCTGCCTGGAGTGCCAAGGTAAAGCGTGATTAATTTGTGTACCATTGTGTTGGGTTGAATAAATGTGTAAGATGTAAATTAACCTATTATAGGTAAACAAATATTTTATGTTGAACATATTATGCAACGCTAATATAAATATTTCGCACTTTGTTCAAGGTTCCTCAGATACCCACATGGGAGCCCGTAGCTGAAAATCAACTTCCACCGGTAATGATTCTTTTGCTCACGTTTATATAGCTCGTGTTGTGCACATGCAATAAACCTTTACTAAAATTAATAATCCATTAATTAAAAATATAATTATTAATTCATCAGCGATTATAACCTATAGGTTTTATTATAGTAAAAGTGTAGTAACTCTTGTTTTTTGGCGTATTAATTACCATTTGTATAACTACAGTTTTACTACAAATACCATGGTTAAATTTGTGCTTACCATGGTTTAACTATAGTAAGCATGTGTTTTTTCTGTAGTAAAACCATGGTTAATTTTCAGAAGGAATGTGCAGTAGTGGACAGTCGGGTAAAATGTGCACCACCGACAATCTTGTCATATCACCATATATTTCGCCAAGCCTAATTGACAACCTAAGCTAAAAGTGGCACGACTTGGAGCATGGTAACAGAAGCCCACATAAAGAAAACAACTTTACTTTGACAATCTTTACAATGTTTCTTGAACCTCCTAGTACAGGGCAGCGGAAAGCATAGTTCAGAAACTGAGCAGCACTCAACCTTACAGTTAAACTGTTGTGTGTATATGAAAAGTTTTGCTTGAACAGCAATTATATTTATTAATAAAGAATATTATTTCTGCACATTCATAATTTGTTTATTTTGTACATACATCACACACACATACACAAAGTTTAATAATACTTGGCAATAAATCTCATTCTGATTTATTATTAATAAAAATGAAGAATTTTTGTTTTCCTAAAAGAAGTAACTATATAACCATGGTTAAACTTTTATTTGCAGCCAACAAGAGTCTCGCCAGATTTAGTGGACAAGTTGGAGAGATTAGCCCTTGTTGACTTTGGCAGTAAAGAAGGGGTGGACTGTCTGGAAAAAGCCATTCGTTTTGCTGATCAACTTCATGTCATTAATACTGATGGTGTGGAGCCGATGGATTCAGTTCTAGAGGACAGGTATTTAAGAATCCTGCTGAAGCTCACATCAGCTCATATAAGTTATGTGACAGTGTGCTAGTTGTCATGGGTGTGACGTCCAGTCAGTTTAGGGGTATCCATTGAATAAAGGCCCTTTTTGATGGTGTTTTCTTTGGTTGACTGTTAATATTGGTTGACTGTTAACAAAATGGTTACAGCCCTGCTCTTCCCAACCCCTCCAAGTATGTTTGCTCAAATTAATTAATCAACATGTCGCCATTTTATAGGAGCTAAACTTTTTCTTTGAACTTCCTGTTGTGCACAGAGAGCTGTATTTGAGAGATGATACAATAACAGAGGGTGAATGTGCGGAGGAGCTGCTCCAGCTGGCCAAACAAAAAGTAGAGGAGTAGTTTGTTGCCCCTCCAGAAAAAAAACTAAACAAAACTGAAAAAAGAAAAGCCGTTCTATCAGAACTTACAAAACAATTTAATCTCCATCCAAGCATGTAGTATTGAGGTTTGTATAATTTCATGATTTAACCTTGGATTCACTGTTTAAATTAAATTGTCTTATCAGAGTAGAACAAATGTGTCTTGGTTAACTTTGCTTTTTACTTTTTTTCACTAATTAATGGAATATGTGTACTGCTTATGAATAATCAGTCTTCATTTATTTTTTAATGCAGGAAACATCCCACTACCTAAGAGAGAAGAGAGATCTGCTTAAACACTCTGAATTTTGACTGAAATGTAACATTGGCTCTGACTTGCATTATAATAAATATTTATTTTTATCTTGTATGCCACTCATGTTTTTTTAATAGTGATAAAAAAAATAAAGCAAACACAAATAGAAATTAATTTCAATAAACACATTTAAGAAATAACCAACAAGAAAAACATATTACAGAGAGTATCAATTAGTCATAATAATTAGATTAACAAAACTAAGAAAACTACAGAACAGAATAATCAAAAAAATTGTTAGCAAATGTTTAATTAATATATGTTGATAATGTCGGATTATATATATATATAAATCTACAGTATATATATGTATATGTGTGTGTGTGTGTGTGTGTGTGTGTGTGAACGTTTCAGAGTTTGATTCTGATGTTTCTGAACAAGAATTCATTGTTGATTAAATTTGCTGAACATCCTGCTAGCGATTAGGTGGAATGGAAACCGAAAGTGACTATGTTTTCAGAAAAGAAACATTATTGTTTGTGGGCGGGGCTTAAGTTGACACTATAAATTCATGCCACCGTCCGGAAGACTTCATTGGCGTGATTTACCTGACTTCAGAGTATTCAGCAGAACTTCAGATATGAACAGCTCGGTAAGCCGCGTAAGTCTTTTGAAAATATTGCACGTTAATCTCATATAATACATTCATTAAATGTACGTACGAAATTAAGTATTTCAAAAATAAGCTGAGGATGCTGTAGTAGTTTTAAATATTTAATTATTATAATTAATATTTTGACAGGTGATGGAACTGACAATAAGACTGCTGGGAGGAGTTGTGAAGCGTCTGGAGGTGAACGGTGATGCCACAGTTGGCGAACTCAAGCAGCGCATTTCTCAGCTCTTCGGAGAGCCTCCTTACAAACAGAAGCTTTCTGCCGATAACGGTACCCATATCAGCCTCGAGGATGATTCCAGAACCCTCAGCAGTTACGGGTTGCACTCTGGATCAGTGGTGAGTCTGCTCATCACGAACCCAGCTGGACCTTTCCAAGTGTTCGTCAGGAATGAGAAGGGCCAGACTGGAACGTATGATGTTGATGTCAATGAGACCGTGGATCAGCTCCAGACTAAGATCTACAACAAAGAGAGAGTCCCGAAGGATCAGCAAAGACTGATTTACAACGGAAGACAGCTGGAGACTGGAAGGAAGTTGCAAGAATACGACATCACACCACTGAGCACCATTCAAATGACTCTCCGTCTGCGAGGAGGTTAATGGAGGAGATCAGCGCGACCAGGATTTATAACCGATCCAGCTATTTTAATGACTAAACACTAGACATGCCAAAATAGGAAAAGTCATAATGAAAGACATTTTTATTCGGTCTGGATAAGAGTGTCTACTATATGAATGCAAATATGTCTATCTAAGTAGTATCAGAATATGTATTCATATGTTGATAGTGTCGGATATATAATTTTCAGAAACGAAACATTATTGTTTGTGGGCGGGGCTTAAGATGACGCTTTGAATTGATGCCTCCGACCTAATATAGGAGCTGGAGTGATTTATCTGTTATCAAATAGACTATATACGTCTTATAAAATTATTGCACGTTAATAGCATATAGTAAATTGATATACGCTAAACTCAGATTTTTAAAATTGCATTTATTTTTTTCTATTTAATATCTAGTATCAGAATATTTTTATTATATTTATTTATTAATTGTGATTTAATGTATTCATGTCATTTAAGAAATGTATGGAATAAGTGTAATCCTTCCTCATACAGTTCCAGTTTAAGGTTTCTGTATATGTTCTTGTCAACCCCTTTCTTGCTAAATAAAATATAAATGCTCAAACCAGTCCTGTGTATTTTGCATGTTTTATTGACTTGTTATGCCTATAGAGTAACTGGTATACACAAAACACCAGTTTCACTAATACTTTTTGTGTTAATAGGCTGCGTATTTCCATTTGGAAATGAATTAGAGCTGATCACAAATATATGTTAATTCATTATCTTTTTATTTGATCAGAATGATGACATTACATTATTACTTCCCTTAAAACCATGTCCTCAGCTCAGACCATAACTCATACTTCAGTTTAAAACATATTTAAGAAAAACAGCATTATAAATAATTATCATTAAACTTCAAAACATATATATATTTATATATAAATATATATTAGCCTTTCATAAGGTGTTACAGATGTGTCCCTAACACTGTCAGATATTAATGAAACTAAAATCAGGAAATTGCAATGTCAGCTTTCATCCTGAGGGGCCCCTTCATTTATTGGTTATGTTCAACAAAATCACATTTTGGTGAGTCGTTCTGTGTCTTTTAGCCTTTTCTTTAATATAATTGTTAGTAACTGCTTATATTTACTGTCACAGCCATGAACTGCTAACTCCTTTACACAAATTGTAAGTAAATAGTTGGCTATTTTCAACAACGTTATTTGACCGTGGTGATAATTCATTCTCAGTTTGATTTTCATTCTCAGACTGATGTCTCAATTCATTCATTCATTGAGGTGAATACTAAATTTGTCAATATTTATAATACATATTTGACAAATTATTGTTTTAACTGACATGTTGTTGACCCATATTGAGTAGACATACACATTCAGTGATAAAACTGACACAGAAGTAGCTTGTTTAGGCATTTAAACATGTTAAATAATTCAAAATAGTTCCTTGGTAAATAACGTTTTATTTCAGTTTTGTAGCCATATGGCTGCTTTAACTTCTTCAGCTTATTTAGAGAAGAATAAGCTCATCCTGGGCAATAAACAAACACTGCTCAAAGTAATATAAAGAGTGTCACCTACAATATATATCAGGTGAGACTAGTTTGGACTGCATCATGCAATAGTAGGCTGGACAGCAGGCAGAGGCGGATTTAACCATTAGGCAAAGGTAGGCGACCGCCTCGGGCCCCCAAAAGCCAAGGGCCCCCTAAAATGCTTTTTATATGCGAGATGCGCGTTCAGTGCTGACCCACACGTGGTTGCTGTGGTGTTCATTACCACGATAACCGTCTGTGTGTCCGCGTTGAACGTGCTTCTTAGCAAAAGTAGGGCGATGTAGAAAATGAGGATGGAATCCCGGAATCTATTCATAAAAACGGAATTTACTGTGTAACGCGGAATGTAATTGTAATGGACCATGATTTGGGCACTACACGTCCCAGCAGCCCCAGCGTTATATAAGGAAGTAGTGAAGTTTGTTTGCTCTTTCGCTTCCGCTTTTGATTTCGGTGATGTCGTGGATGATTTAGAAGTTGAATGTTTTCAGCTTTCAGGAATTGTGTACAGATCCTTGTAACATGGGGCCGTGCATTATCATGCTGCAACATGAGGTGATGGTCGTGGATGAATGGCACAACAATGGGCCTCAGGATCTCGTCATGGCATCTCTGTACATTCAAAATGCCATCAATAAAATGCACCAGTGTTCGTTGTCCATAACATATGCCTGCCCATACCATAACCTCACCACCACCATGGGCCACTCGATCCTCAACGTTGACATCAGCAAACCGCTCACCCACACGACGCCATACATACTGTCTGTCATCTGCCCTGTACAGTGAACACCGGGATTCATCCGTGAAGAGAACACCTCTCCAAAGTGCCAGACGCCATCGAATGTGAGCATTTGCCCACTCAAGTCAGTTACGACGACGAACTGCAGTCAGGTCGAGACCCCGATGAGGACGACGAGCATGCAGATGAGCTTCCCTGAGACGGTTTCTGACAGTTTGTGCAGAAATGCTTTGGTTATGCAAACCGATTGTTGCAGCAGCTGTCCGGGTGGCTGGTCTCAGATGATCTTGGAGGTGAAGATGCTGGATGTGGAGGTCCTGGGCTGGTGTGGTTACACGTGGTCTGCGGTTGTGAGGCCGGATGGATGTACTGCCAAATTCTTTGAAACGCCTTTGGAGACGGCTTATGGTAGAGAAATGAACATTCAATTCACGGGCAACAGCTCTGGTGGACATTCCTGCAGTCAGCATGCCAATTGCACGCTCCCTCAAAACTTGCGACATCTGTGGCATTGTGCTGTGTCTTAAAACTGCACATTTTAGAGTGGCCTTTTATTACCTTTTACTACCTTATTTTATTACCTTTTAACCATGGTGTAGTCACAATGGACAAGGTGTGTTTTGCTCTTATATGACGTGCTTCACTTTACCTGGATTTCCCCAATCACATGATCATGTGGAATGCTTTCTAATTCCAATGCACTCTGATTTCCTATTATGTCTGAATGAAACTCAAGTAGGAGATGCCTATTTGACTATTTTTTGTTACATTCATTTTTTTAATGTTCATTTTTATGTTTATGAAACATGTAGATAAACTAGGCTACACACTGCTTTTATTGTAGATTACAGAAACATTGTTTACATTGATTTAACCAGAGAAGTGTTACATTGTTTATCCATCCAAATAAGAAAGATCTCTGCAGGTTCCCAGAACCTTGTAGGCAGATTTGTATTATTTTTATTTTTATTTATTTATTTTAATTACCTACAGAGAACCTATAGGCATACAGTA